CCCATTCGAAAATGCTAGTTCAGAAATACTTTGAACTATTATCATGTTACCAACAAGTTAAATAAATAGTCTAATAACAGTTAAATCCATGCACATAAGCTGAACAAAAAACTGCAGTGGTGAAGTATAAAAAAAAGACAATCGTTTTCTTATTGGCATTTATTCTGGATTTCCTGAAGTAGAGTCAGGATTGCTTGAACCGGACTGAGACTAAAGCCATTTAATGAATACAGAGATACAGTAGGTGTCAGTAAGGAAGAAAGAGCAAAATCAAAGAATTTGTCATCAACTATACCGAGCATCAAGAAAATATGAAAATGACAAAATCTTGACAAACCTTGCAAAGTGTGCATTGTATTTTATTGAACAGACCTGGTAAATTCATTATGCTGATAAGCTTGCAATCAACAGGGTTGATCAGCAGTTCTCTACATGAAGTCAGAGGCTAGTAGTGTGCTGGCCAGCACTGGGAGCTGTAAACCTGTGATGTATGCTGTGCATCAGTTTCAAGGTGCTGTCATGTGGTACTTTGCCTCTTGTCAAGCCTGAACAAACATACCTGTTCACGGTTCGCTATACCCTAGATGCTACATTTTGTACCAAATCATCCCACAAAGGTTCAATGAGGATCAAATCTGAGAATAAAAGGGTCTGGATACCTTCTAGGGGTAGCAGGAAGAAGTGGGTAGGCTTTCTCATCTGGTTAATGGTTAAAAGATGAAAAGTGTTAGGTTAGAGGGGGGATTCACAGCACAGCTCTCTCATTTAAGGTTAGGCTTACAGGGGAATCCAGTGAGGCAAAGCAGGTCACAGAGCAACTCATCCCCGGTTTCACAGTTTCCTCAGAGTTTTATTGATTTCTTCCAGAGGTATTATTCAGGTTACTGAAAATAGTTGCAGGTTCTGTACCCTGTAACGGAGTGCATGTGCATATCTTAAGAGGATACAGTACAGTAAGAGGGATCTGCCACACTACATGACACATAACTGACACGTTCTCATCTCCCTAGAAAGACGCTGTTACACATGCACCTTGAGGAAGTCGAATTTGCCGAACCTTGAGGTGAGATTTAGCACTTATGCAACAAATTCACTCCAGTTTAATGCAGTAAGTAATTAATTATCAATGAAAACTTAATTAATATTCAAAATCCTCATACTGTATAGTATTTTAAAAAAATACACGCAGAGTAGTAACTATATTTTGAAATGTAATATTTCTTTATGGAGCTTCTTTAGGATGCTCTATGCCCTGTTCAGCTGTCCCTTGCTGCCGAATATATTTTCCATCTTGCAAATATAGACTTGAAACATAAGCACCCAGTGTTGTTTATTCTTAGTACCCTGGCAGGTGGTATAGAATGACCACGAGCATCTCTCATGTCCTGTTCTTGATTTGTTTAATTAACCCAGAACTTTCACTTATAACACTGGTTGAATTTCTCTTTTTAAAATCAGATTCCAGATGGATTCCACAGGGTCACTCCTGTGTTACAATGTTCAAAACCACTTGCCGGACTAAAGAATGTCATTGGCTCACACCAAACTTGAAAGATTAAAGTTTACTTACCTGTATGCAGACAGGTACCGATTTGACTATACTTACTGTTCACAGTCCATTTCACGTTGGTGCACATTTTGAACTGGTCTTGGGGCACATTAAAATTGAATTCACTCTTTTCTTCAGTTTACATATATTTTTAAGCAGCTTTGTACAACAATAACACAGAACGAAAATGACACGGAAAACCTTGCTGCAATGAAATATCCAACTATGATTACTTTTGACAACAGGGGCTCATGTCCTGGGCATGGCTTCAGACTCTGACCACATTCACTTTGCAGTCTTTTCTAGCATCTGGGCATGAGATTTTATAGAACATTTTATACAGATGTGAATGGCTTCAGTCTTTATGGATATCCAAATCTAGCTTTAAATGCAATGCAAACATAACTTGAATTCAAATGTTCTTAAACCACATAAAAAACCTCAGCAGGAGACAGAAGCAAAGTGAATGCTCTGTGGGGCTCAGTGGAGTTTTATACAGCAGACTTCTGGGATCGCGTCTGGACCTCCATGTAGCTGTTAGGGATTGGAGTGTCTTGAGGTCACATGCTTGGTCTGCTCTCTAACATTTCTCATGCCTACAAATGATACTCATCAAACTGCATGATCTTCATTAGAAATGAATGATGGGTTGTCATCACAACCTTGGTTTCCTCAAAAGAAATGCAGTCATCACCAACAAAAGTGCTTTTCCACTGGCATCATGGAATTGGAATCTATGTTAATAGTTTTGTCATGTTGAAAGATGTTATGTTAAAATGACACAATGCACAATAATTCAGTTAAGATATTGTACATGGTTTTGTTCACCATACTAGGATAAAATACTACTGATATGGAATCTCTAAAAAAAGAGCATCAATCTACATTCCTGAACTCAATAGGTATATCCTACCCTGAGGCTACAAAATAATCTTTTTATGCTCGAATAGAAAGGACTACAAGCGGACTTAATTCAGTTCAAATCTTCAAAAGCATTGACTCAGGGTAACCCAGGGGACTAATTCAAAATCAAAAGTGAAATACAAACCAGAGGACAGTAGTAGTAGTTAATTCATCCAAGAATCTCACCGAGCTTTTTATAAGTCACTTCTTTACACAGAGTAGTGATTAAATCCTTGGAGCAATTTTCTAATAGCAACCAAACAGGCTGGCTAGAGATGGGCTTAATGACCTCTTCTCATTTACTTACAGTATGTTCTTTTACCACAAATACCTACATTTTCATGTGAAGACACATGAAAATTAGATGTGTTTCTTCTGAGTTATCACAAGATGAGCTTTATCTGCTACATACTGTACCTGTATTGAGAAGCTTGATGTAAAAACAGGGGACATCTTCAATGAGTAATAGGTAGAAAATCAGACAGAGACAGAGAATCACAGGAAAATGTGCTGAAAAGTATTTTCAGACCTACAGTATGTTCATCTCTTAAACTGGAATCTTGAAAATACAGTGGATTGTAATTGAATTCAAATGTTCATCAATGATTTCCAGACAATTTCCTCTGGTTTTGATTCTGTGTTCAGTGCTGGGCAGGTTTTTCCTTGCTTAATACTTTATTATTAAAGTATTAAGGAGCTTCTCCTTAAGAAATCATGACAAATCAAATAGACAAATCAATAGAAATCATCAGCAATTCATACAAAAAAACTGATAGTCCATTCATTTGTTTTATTTCAAGAACCTTTGAATGTAACAGATGTAAACATTAATAGTAGTGTTAGATACCCAACCATCAATTCTTAGGTCCCTTTATTCTTTAGGTAATACTAGTATGACAGAGCTTCCAAAGGAATATATATTGTATACAGACAAAATAAAAAATAAAAATAAATGTGCTACCAGTTTTGACTGTGTCTGGTATACAGACACATACACGGAAAACTAACTTAAAATCCACCTGACTATTTTTATTGTAAGTTTCTGATGTTTCACTTAAAGTTGTCTATAAAGTTTTATAAATATTACCAAATAAATCATCACGCATTGGTATTAATATAATACAGTGTTGTATAACACAACAATCACTCCAGAAATAAAAAAAGACGTTAACCTCTGCAAAACAGAAACAGCAGATACACACTTTCAGTTTACATACCCTGAACACACAAAACGCAAATACAATACAAAAGTCTGTGCCAGTCATTTGTTGGCACTTAGGCTGAAACCGAAACCTGTATTTAATATAGATTATATGAGCACTGAATACAAAGAGAAGTTACTGTTCTGACTCTAGAAAGCCTGTTTAAAGTGCATCTTTAAGAAAAACAATAAAAGAATTAACCAAGCTACTTTCCCTCCCCTTTGTATATACACATATATATTTGTAAAATACAATTAGAATAATTAACATTTATCCCAAGAACCTTAGCATCAGATTAATAGTTATTTTCACACTCAGACTGGTAAGAAGAAATGGCTCACTGTTGCACAAGTACGCTAAATCAGAGTCCCCAGGCTTTTGAAGATGATACCAAAGGAAGAAGAGGAACAAGTGTCTCAATAATCTTTCAGTTCTTCAATAAAATATTTTTTCAATAAGTTCTCTAGCAAACACATAGGTTACTTTTTATCTAACAATGCATCAATTGGCATCTAATACACTCTGACAAGTATTTACAAAGGACATAATGGTACTAAAATAGATAATATATATTTATAAGCACATCGCCAGTGTAAAGCCGCTTTTAAAAGATAACAAATACATTTTGTTTTTTTTACATTGTATTGCTATTTCCAGCTTTTATTGATATTTGCTATTTTCTAACATTCAATTTACATTTTACATATTTATAATATATTCTTAATTGATGAATATTCTTTTCGTTGTACCTGTAACTACTGAAGTGCTTTTATAAATAACAAACGAACGCTAAAATAAAAGGATGCTTTGTACTAACCGTCTGGTTTATTTGGCTTGTTTTTGTTTGATCTCCTGTCTGGATGTGCAAAGAGTTCTGGCACATCTTTTGCTACAGATGTGCAACAGGCTCCTTGAAAACATTACAAATTGTCACTCTAAAATACCACAGTGAACACTGGGTAGCAGAACTCATGTCAAGATTGACAACATTTCAGAACACAGTCCCTCCCTCAATCCTGATACACACCTTTCTCAAAATATGACATTCACTTTTTCAGAAAGGATGGGATCTAATTGGACTGCATTACACAAAGATGACAATTTGATGTTGCAGGAAACAAAAATGAATTACATTGGGAGTTCAAAAAACACAGTATAATAAAAAAAATTAAACAATTTCAATGTTGAAGCCTAATTTTGTTTGGGCGATAGGCAATAGGCAATAGGTGTTGAGGAGAGACAATAATTCACTCCGTTACATTCACAACTTAGCCTGAACAATCTGAGGCAAGTCTGACCTGATTTATCTTTACCATTTTAATAAGGTTTAAAACTGCAGAGGCACTTATGATAAGAGTCTGGAGCAACTGCTTTGGACTGCTGGCATCTGGCTGTGGCTTAACATGCAGCTATTCGACAAGCGTTTTGCTCCAGGCAAGGCTGCTTTTGTCCATCAGCTGCTCAAGTGGGGAAAGGAATGAAGTACAGAACTGAGAGGCTTGCCTCAGGGACACAGCAATCTGGAGAAACTGAACTGTAAAACACAGTCAGATAAAAGGGGTTGTATCCTAAATTGCCCTTAAGTTCAAAACAAACGCATCCCAATGGCTTGCTTCTGTGGTGGTTGTCTGATGTAACACTATTTTTGCAGAATGCATAGAGAAGTGGTGTGAGCTGGTATTGATAAGTCTCAAAGAATAATAGAGTTATGTCACTCCCCAATACTTTTAATAGCATTTGAATCAGATGCCAACGCTGAGAGGTAGGCCCTTTGGCATAGGGGTTTTGAGTCTTGTAAGCACTGTGCAGGGTAACGGGCTTAAAATTTACAAGAAACTGATGTTCCAATAACATTTATCCTCTATGCTGTAGAGGATGCCGTTGCCCCTTTTCACTGAGACTGATCTCTGTCCATTACTGATGTTGCTGCAGAGTTTAGAGGTGAAGAGGTAAACAGGTATCAGTGTAAGTTGGGACATTACAATGACATCACTGCCTAGGATGCTCAAAAGGAATTCAACCCTCTCAAGGTGAGGGTTTGGGTTTTTGTAAATGACATCTCATAGTGTCATATCCCCATAGTGTCATAGTGTGGATATGGCTCACCCTCATGTGGACCAAGTGGGTTGGGTACTCAGAGGTGCCAGAGAAGGCAGTTCAAATCCAAGGTCTAATCACACATGAGACACAGACACAGATGTCAAATGTTCTTCTTATGAGAGGAGACAGATGAATTGATCTTGAATTACTGGCATCCAACAGGAAAGTAATTTCAGTGAAACAGAAAGAAAAAGAGAAGGGAAAACCACTTCAAGTCTGGCTTCACCCAAACATTGTACATAAACAAGCTTACAATAGACTAAAATCTGCTTGTGACTTCTTGATTTGTGAATTCTCAGACTGGATTTTGAGATGAAGTATTGCCGGCACAAGATACATTGTCAGCAATAGTATTTTCTTGTGTTGACAGTGACATCAGAATTGATTAATTCTGGAGGGTGGTGCTATCCAGGTCTTGATAATGCTGTAAAAAGTTATTTTGAGAAACTCTCAAGTATCAAAATCAACAATCACACATTTCTATGAATGGCGTCTGATCAGAGCTAATCAGCAAAGAAAATGGAGAAGGTAAGATCTTTTCAAGCTGAGCACAGATGCTCTACAGATTGGAGGACACTTTAGGTAACATCTGCTTTAGTCTCATTTTCTATCACCCACCGGAGCAAAACCTATTTTCTACCATTTTCTCTGGACTCATCAATCTAAAAGCAATTTACAATTTTTCCTGTAATTAATTACTGTTAAGTATCAAAGGCTTAGAATTTTGATAACAGTACTTTCTTTCAATCTTCAAGAAATTACACAAAGAATTCACCTCAAGAAACGCGTTTACAACAAAATGCACAGCAAAACACTGCGCTACCCTTTACGGAAGTTATTGCCCACTGAATAATGCACAGAAATAGTGCCAACAGGATGTCTAGTCTCCCCACTGAAAAACTCTCAGAAAAGCAATAGACTACGTTCGTAGAGGTATGTAATTTAGAAACTAACAAAATGCATGCTGGCCTTGTGATTAACCTTCCCGAGGAGAAAAAAGTAATGTTGAACAGCCAAAGTTTTACATTCTTCATGGAAGAGTTAGTTGCCACCAGAAATTCCAGAATACAAGAAATCTGGCAAAACAATGTGCAACAGTGAGTCAGTCAACAAGTCTTTTACCAGTCTGGTCGAAAAGGCAGCCCCTTAAGCCAAAGTTAAATTAAGTTACTGGGTTAAGATTATAACATTTCCATGAAAAATTGAGACAAAAACAGACATGGGTTATATTATACCAGTACTGCTAAATTTTGAAAAACCTAAATACTGAAAGACATACTTGGAAAGAAACTCGCTGAAATATTTAACTGAGATGGGAAAGTTTCATATTTTGTTGTGTTTTATAAATAAACTAAAGCACTTGCACTCTTATTTTCCCACCATACTTTAAAATCACCTTTTTTAGCCTGTAACGTACTTTAAAACAGGAAAGTTGTAATCTGAGCTTCATAAATAATATTACAAATTCTATCAAATATGGAAGCTTAAAAAAAATTAAGACATATATTTAGATCACTATCCTCTGAGTGAGGGCACACCTGCTTTACAGAGCCCACTTCTGAAGTTTTTGTCCTGTCAGGATGGGACGTTCACCGGGTAGCAGACAGGACCGCGGGGCGGTCTCGGGGGCGAGAGGGAGGAAGCTGGAGACCCTACAGAGCTGTTTCTTTCAAGTCATTGAGGTTTGGCATCCGGGATCGAGAAGACCGGCTAAAGCTGTGCCCGTTCTGGCCACCCTTTGAGGGCATTTGGTCAGGGTAAGGAGTCCCCTCGGCGGAGGAGCGGTTCAGCGCAGACACGTGCCAGCTGGACTCGATCTGCCCGGGGAGCTGGAAGGCCGCACGGCTCTTGGGCTGCGAGGAACCGCTGCTGGGGTGACCCCGCCCGTCGCTGAAGCCGCCTTTGGAGGGCGGATTGGGAAGGGGCTGGAAGCGCAGTTCAGAGGGGGCCGAGTGGTTGGCGGTTGAAGAAGAGAGGTGCAGGAGCTTGCGAAGAGACTTTAAAGGCTGGCTCTGGGGGAGGGCGGAGAAAAGGCAGAAGCATGAGTCGGGAAAAGTCAATGATCACATTCAGAAATGTGTTTCCAAAAACAAGCCGCGACTGCCGAAGCACAATGTCCAAGTGTGTGCAAAGCTAGGGTAAACAAATCCGCCCTGGAGGCCTGCCTTTCATGGGCTCTCTCACGTTCTCATGCTGATACTACTGACAGAGCACGTTTTGAATTGGCACAACTACTGAAGCATGGGTACAGCTCTTAAGACTCTTTCTCTTGATACATTTCAAGTGCTATAAACATTCTCCACAGGACAGGAGTACCCATTTAACACTTGCTTTATTTGGATAAGTCTAGTCTTTAAAACAGTTCTATTAGTGAAAGTGCTTACCTGAGAATGGACCTCTGTCATCTTATCGGGCCATTCTCTGTCCCTCTCCCTTTCTCTGTCTCGGTCGTGGTCTCGATCCCTTTCTCGGTCTCGGTCTCTGTTCCTGTGACGGCTGCTCTGGTGGTTGGAGGAGCGGATAGCCTTCTGGACAGCCAGGTGGTCCTGCCCGTCACTGGGAACCTGTTGCACAGGAGATGACAGCAGACACGGAGGTTTCACTCGGAACTGTTGAAACCCAAACGTCTTTAACTGCCCAGTAAGCAAGTGCTCTCGATTCAAAAACATGTTCAGACCACCCAGGGAAAGGAAACAACTAACGCAAGTACTGTATTTAGTCATCGAAAGGTCAGAGGCTGAGGGTTCTAGACTAAATACAAGCAATGCAAGCTAGTGGAGCATTTACACTGGAAATATACAGTACCTGGATGTGAAAAAGACTACAAACTGTAGAGATGCAACATGAGCCACTGCATACTCCACCTGAACCAGTGGTTAATTTACTGTGCACATTTCACAAATAGCTGGCTTTCAAACTGCACTGCTATGGGGGTGGCAATACAAATTAATTTCAATAATGTGAACTGTGTTATTCGGTACACTGTACTCAAAAACTTTCTTTCCTGTAATCACCAAATCCTGCCTACATGTCAATTATCTCTCAAAGGACATTGATTTACACTCTGCTCTGCACTGCACAGGCATTGCATTTATAACGTGCAGTGCTTCTTCATCATAACAGTAGTCAAGATTTTTTTTATTTCTGAGCTTCTGCCATTGAGCACTAATATAAACTAAGCGTCTCAAAGGCATAATAATGTTAGTATATGGCTTTGCTCATCTGACAAATAATCAAACTATCAAGTATATATTACAGAGTTATTAGCACTTCAGTCAACAATAAAACAATACAACTTTACTACAGGGGGAATTGATTAACAACTGCTACTCCCAAAACAACAACTCTCGATCACTGTTCTGTAGCTGGCTCAGGTGACGACTGCAGTTTAGGGTGGCTCCTGCATTTATTTAAAACAATGTTCCTGCTAGCTCCATTTTAAACAACAGTGGTGACAATGCCACAATTCTAACAGCTGCATAAATCAGCTTTGCCACAGTCATCTATAACAGTCATAACTGCAGCGTAAAAAACAAAACTCTTGACTGTGGAGGAGAGCTGGACACAGCCGTTCAAAGACTATTTAAAAATCCCATGTAAAAAATATCCCTATGCTTGACTACAGCCTGTCGGTGTCCTCTCCCGCACACGACCCTGGGATGCTGAGCAGGTTTTGGAATATGCTATGGGCAGCCGCGTGCACCTTCGGCAAGCAACAACCAGTTTCGGCAGACGAGGCCGAGGAATCATGCATGACCCTTCCCAGTCACACCCGCACCCCAAAACCTGTGTCACATGCTGTTAGCTGAAAAGCTGCAAAGGGGGAAATAAACCAGGACATTGTCAAGCAGTTCAGCAGGTGCTGATTCAATAGTAACATCACATTGCACTGGGCTTATCGAGTGACTCCAGGAGACCATGCACCAGTTCCATCAAATGTTTCATTTCACAGGAGCTACAGCACAGGAAGAAAGGGCCAGGCCTGGTCCTGCAGATGACTCTGGGTCCCTTTGAATTCTCAGTGGTTCAAACAACTCTTATTCTGGTTCATGAAATGAACAACTGACGCGTTTATTGAAAAAATCAATTGACAAGACGCCTAGGTGCCTGGGTGCTTTCATCTTCAGTTGCTATCTCCAGGCTGAAACTGGTCCCCCAGGGAATAACATAAGAAAGGTTACAAAGCAGACAAAGCCATTTAGCCTTGTCTGATAACTACATTTGGATTTAATCATATTGAACTTGGCCAACTTTATTTGTTCACTGACAGTCATGACACTCTGAAGTAGCAATTAATGTTACATAAATATTGTATATACCCTACGTCACACATTAAAAGCAAAACCACAAAACCAAGAAGTAATTAACTATTATGAAAGTAAAATGGAAACATCATGATTGCATATTAAATTTCTTTGCTCTGGGAAACCTAAATTAATTTATGTGCACTAAATTACTTTAACAAGCCACATACTCCGCGTAGTTGATTGGCCTGTGTGTGGAATAATGGTTAATGTGACTTCAGAATAAATACACCTCTCTTTAGTTACCTCGGTCTGGTAGTGAAGTTCCCACAGAGATTCAATCACGAAGAGTGAGAAGCTTATTAAGAAGTTGAAGGTGTGTTATACCAGTCTGCCTAGATCAGACTGACCCTCCAAGCTGAGCAGCCAGGCAAGGAGGAAACCAGTTAAGAATGCTCCCTTTGAAAGCAACAGTAACTTTGAAAAAACTACATCGTTCAAAAGCCGAGAAAGGAGAAAACCGCCATGAGTCAGAATGGCAAGGAGGAAGCTGCTACTGAAAAAAACATGCATCTAACCCTGCATTGAGTTTACAACAAAGCATTTATGATAGACTGCAAATATAGCAACATTTGTTCTGTGGTGTAAATGTAAATGCAATGCTGTAGTACACAGCAGATCTCTATAAGCATTCTGGTTGACTTTACCATAACTAAGTTATGGGGCTACTTCTCATCTGCGGGAGTTTGGAATCTTAGATACAGTAAGGTGCAGCTTTGTCTGTGAGATGAATCTTAAAGGAAAACCAATCAATCTTCTAAAGACCTAAAACTGGGATGAAAATACACCTTCAGCCAGTGAATGTCCCAAAGGGCCAAAGCTACATAGGAGCGGCTCAAGAATAAGAATGTGAATGTCCTTGAGTGGCCCAGTCAAAGACCTGACTTGACTCCTATTGAGACTCTGAGAAAAGACTTGAGACCTGCTGTCCATAAGCGACAGGCAACTTGAGAGCTTGAGCAAATCTGCCAAGATTAACGGGCAAAAACGGCACCAAGCCAGAGACTTACCCAAAAATACTTGCAGCTGGAATTGCTACCAAATGATCTTCCACCAAATACTGAGTTTACAGGTCTGAATACTGGTACAATCAGTTTATTTTTTCCTTTTTTTTTTGCTGACATTTACTGTAACCTACCTTAAAATCATATACACATTGTTTTTTTTTTATTTCACAAAACAGGACACCATAGGAAAGGTCACAATATTTTTACAAGGTACTGTGTATGGTGCTAGATAGACTGCCAGGCAGACAAGGTATAATAGATGGTATGTTGAAACAGAAACTTTTCACTTAGGTGAAAAGGACTTTTTTATTCTTTAGCTGTGATGGTGCTAAAAGGTAATGGAAAACAGCAGTTTCAATTAAGATACTATTTTTATTGTAAATCTGCCCAGAATACAGGTAAATGCCTAGTTATTAATGCCCACTTTTGCAGTTGACAAGTATTCAGAGGCAAGACCTACAGTTTACTGTATATGACAAGAGAGAATAAGGAAGCCTCAAACATTGACTACACCACTGGCATTTTTATGAGTGAGGACATAAGTAAACACCGTTTCTTCCAAATCATGTATTACGTGAGATCTGACAAGCCAAAGGCCTGTTTCTTTATGTGTATTTGAAATCTTCAAGCCGTTGAACCCTGAATTCCTAAATATTGATTACCTTAAATACCTCAAGACATCAATGATAAAGGAAGAAAAATAACACATTTGACACATCTGGTCATGGCTCCCTGTAGAGAATATAATGGGAATTATATACACAAATTACAATGTATTAAACATGTTAATAGCATGCAGTTGCAGTGTTGTTACTGGAAAAGATTAGGGTGCAGTATATAAACCGAATACCATGGGCGAAGTGATTACAGGGAGGGCTTTCAAAGAAGAGCTATGCTTTATATTATTCTTTGAGTTAAAAAGAGGAAAAAGGCATTTCTTGATGCTGGGATTCTTTCCATCGGTGTTTTCTGTCTGCAACATAAGATGCAAAACACTAATGGCACATTGGAAAATGTAAGAAACACATGGTGCACAATTTTATAATCAAACAGTATATCAAGACATGCTTTGCAAGTGCACAGTGCTGAAATATTGCTTCTCTAATGAGTTGCAGCTGTGTTATGCTCTGTTCTGTAAAAGGACCAAAACACAAAAGCATTTCACAGGAGGTTTGTATGAGTAAGTCCAGCCCACACATAAAAGAACCTGAAGACTTTGGAGGCATTTACGCATTATCACAGAGTGACCCTTGCTGGTCAAAGAGAGATACGGCATACACTATGTGCCTATGTTCAGTGTATTAAATTTTATATGAATTTTTTTCCCCAACATGAATACCTAGGACTGAATATGAATGCTATCTCCCTTCTTTTAAGGGAGTAATATTTACTGTATGTATTCCACACTGAGAACACATCAAACATGCTTTTATCCGAATCCTTCAGGCCAACATTAATCGCAAACATCAAACTGCAACACACTTTTTTCAGGATCAGTTGCTATCTAGCCCCAGAAGCTGTACTGTATGTAGCACAGACCCAGGTACAGTATATAGATTGCATTGCTGTCAAGGCTGATCACAGATATAGCTCCATAGATCTGAGCAGTTACCTGGGTCTGTGGTAAAATGCTAGCTAGCTATACACATACTTCACAGCTGAATTACAGTTTGTTTGATTCTCATCCTCCTTTACCAGGTGTTTCCATACAGGTATGTATTCTCTGTATCACACAGCAGTCAGCTTGAAATAATGGGATGGGGCTGAACCTTGACCTCATTTCTCATTTGAAAGGTCACACAGATGTGGGTGTTCAGTGTTGTGACAAGGTTGGGCTTCATAGCAGAGTAAAGAGCCAGCAGAATAAGAAAAGGAGAAACAGCTTCAAGGATATTAACAGAACAATTCTTAACTTAACCATGATAACAATCCCATCACCCACCCATCCATCATCTTATTTAATTTCTTTCCATTGGTATTATTTCTCTGTAGGAAGCATGTGACTAACTTTGCTTGTATCTACTGGCCTCTTTCTGGGGAGAGGGATCAAATGCTAAAATTGGATTAAAAGTCCCAAGAGATACAGCAACCTCCTCATGTTCATCAGATTGAAATGTAGCCCCACAAGAGAGGTGTCACGCTACTTTGTAATCACTGAGAAGAGAACAGGGCCCAAGTACTGTAACAATCATTTCTGTGGATTGAGTCTGCACAATGCTGACAGGGTGACAGCTGTTTGGGCATGCATTTTAACACTGACATTTAACAAAATGACAGTTTCACTAAGTGATCAACGTGCTTGCATCCGATATACTGCAGCAAACTCTCTGCAATTGTTGAGGCCAAGACATATTGGTTGTAAAATACCTATCGAAGTTATTTGCTACATGTTCTGAGTTACTTTGCTTAACTGTCCATGCATCTGACACTGCATGAAAAAAAATGAGAATATTAATAGGGGTCAAAGGATTTTCTGCATCTTCTTTCTGAATTCCTGAGGAATGGATCTATAAATGTTAACACTAACAGAAAAGGAACATTACTGCTGATTTTCAAAAAGCTGTGATATCCAAGAAATGTATATTGCTAATCAAATAAATCATGTTTGACACTTTCATTATAAGGATGCATGCATTTTTTTTTAAAACACAACATGCGTGTTTTTCTGACACAGGGGCTTCCTTCACTTGGAGCAAAGCATCTATAACAGCAGACAGTTCTGAAAAGAGATCAATACACGTTTTCACAGTAATGACCTACTGTAGTTCTTGTGAAAAAAGGGTTAGGGCCCACCGTTTGAGATTTCTTTTTCTTCTTCTTTATTGCTCGGAAGAACCCCTGCTTCTCCTTCTCTTTTGTAGGCTCTGGAGGATTGATGTTCAAATTCTCAGAGTTGCTCCTGAAATAAGAGAAAACACAGGTGTTTTAGGGATGCTTTACTCCTGGTCACCATTTTTAAAAAGCACTATAATATTTATTAAATGTAGGAAAACATTAACTCTTTGTGTAGCATTTAATTTATAAAGCTGGGTTAACAAATTTAAATTAAGACCTTAAAAAATTGAGAAATCTGTTCACCGTTAATAACGATATAATTACAAATACAAGTGTCTCAAAAATGAAAATGAAAGACATTCAGGGTTTGTCTGTTCACAGTCACTTGAGCCATTTTACCAGCTGAAGACCTGGCTTTCAAAATTGTTAATCAGAAACGTGTTCAAGAAAGACAAAGTGATGTCACAGCCAAAACATACAGAATAAGCCTCGGTTTATTCCTTTTAATGTATGTATGTTATCTGGGGCTGTATTTCTTAAATTGTTCAGTCTTTAAAAGCAGTTATAAATGACAGACTTGTTTTTTTCATTTTTACTCATTTAGTAAGCCAGATATTCAAAGTATATTACCATTATTTCTCTTCACAAAAATGTGCAGAATGGCACTGCAACTCCTGATTCAATTATATTTCAAGCTGGGTGGGCTGCTAAGGCACAATAAACGTCTTGCAAGCTGTCCGATGTTATTTTCTCCGAATATAATTGAGATTCATTCATCTACTGATAGCGATCTGGATTGCCAAGGTTCTCATTTATAGCTGGATACCAGAGCTGACATCCAGCAATAGAAATAAACCATCTTTTTGCATTTTTCACTGTCAGATTAACGCAAGTTGCCTTCATACCATCTCCATCACCCTGAACCGGTGACAGTCTACAAGTGCAGAACATCAACAGAACCAAATTAAGGCCTTTAAATGAACAATTCATATTACGTTAGTGCAGGATCATTAGGGAATACTATAAAACCTGAAGATCATTAATAGTGATGGAAAACACTACTGTATATAAATGTAAGACACTCGTCAGTATTTCAGAACGTCAAGAACTGACAGCAGTCATATATACAATAATCAAGAAGAGATATAACAGATGGAATATTGTCCATCATAAGTGCCATTCATCCAAAATATGTTTTGGATATGCACATAAAATGACATTTTCAGTAGGGTGAAATAGAAAGCTAGACTCTGACCGTAGAAGCAAAAATGTTGTTTTAGAAACCTAACAAAATAAATATTTCTCACCTCAAAATTGTGAAAGCTGCAGTGCTTATCATAATTGGTCCAAACCTTAATCAAATCCCATCACACCTAAATGTACTATGAGTGTCTACTGTTGTGACCCCTGCTTGGAAGATCATGTAAACCTAAACATCACTGAACAGAACTGAAGGCTTGTAAAAGAAAATTCTCTACACAGAAGTCTTAACAAATGTCAAGGATTGCCTGGATACACGGGAGGCAGGGGCGTGGGAACCACAATACTCTGAAGAACCTTCCGAATGAACAATGTAAAACAATAAAACATAAACCAGAGAACACAAATGGAAACTATGTGGAAGTGCATTTAAAATCAAGAACAGGAGGCACTTCTTTAGCAAACAGGTTGTGGAATATGGAACCAACTGCCAAACTGTTGTGTTGAAGGCGATACCCTGGCTTCTTTCACGAATGGGCTGATTGAGATCCTCCTTTCAATTAGCTACTAACCACCAAATGGGCCAGATGGGCAGAACCTACTCTTTAACTTTACGTGTGTTCCTAATTAGGTGAGAACTGGAGTACAGGGAATGATGGTGATGGCTCGAGTGTGAACTTGCCATGGATCGAAGGCTGTTTGTCGCTTGGGATGGCTGGACAGAGAAGAGCTCTCCACAGGCACGGCAGGGCCCCTGCTCTGCACTGAGCTGTCATGGAACGTACTGTCAGGTCGGGGAGAAGGAACTGCAAGACAACACCAGGAAATACAACTTTGTGAGCTGCTGTAGGTATATGTATCCCACCTCATAGAAATATGAAGAAGGAAGATCAGGCTTCTTGATGTATGCAATGCATTGGTGCCGGACTGATCAGCCTACATTTCAAACAAGTCTCTGCCATTTCTGTTCCCCAACCTTTTCCACCTGATGGAAATAATGCAACTCTAAGGAGTAATATTTACAGATTGACAAATCAGCATGAGACTTGTTTAGGCTCAAAGCTCAAGAAAAATAAAAACATGGAAAATGATAACTTAAAACAATCAGTACTGTCAATTTTTATTGAGATGTTTACTTATTCCTGAGTGTAACTGGAACTATCACTCTAGGGCTGAGTACAAAGTGTATCCATGCTTTTCAAGGGGTTCATGGGATAGAACACAATTTTTCAAAGCACTTTTCACCTCCTCTCATTTAGAAGTGACAACACAGTAAGGGACTATGAGCCTCTCACCAAAGATTACTTTGCTTTTCCCAGAAGATTCTTAATTACAGAACTTAAACATAATACAAAAAAAAATCCCTGCTACCAAATTACCTCTGTAAAAGCTTCCTACTCGTCTGGGCATGGAATCTGTGTAAATGATCCGGTTTTCTTTTGATGATGCTCCATCTTCAGGGTGTGGATCATGGTACATTCCCACCTAGATAAGAAGGACACCATTACTGCCACCCTGAAAGGCCACCTCAAGCCTCCTTGCCACAGTCAACGCAGACTGGATCCCACGGCACACAGAGCACTTAATCGTTTTAATTGACAGTTTTTTGCCTCGTTATTTATGAAGAAAAGGAAGATAAGGGGCAAAGGAAGAAGGAGAAAGGAGATCAACTCAGGCCATGAGCTCTTTCCTGAAGGCATAAATAAACAGAAAGCACAGAGTCCTCTAAAATGTATGGTCTAAATACAATGATCTGAATAATATTTGGTTTTGTAGAATGTTTCTTCTCGAATTAAAATGATTTCTACATTTAAAGAAATATTTATTAAAGTGTACACCATAATTGCAAATCTTTGGTCAGTAGCAAACCAATAAGTACACAAACGCATGAGGCACAGATTGTGAGACGTGACCTACGCCCTACAACAATGTCTGAAAAACAAGACGAGAGGGGAAAACTGTGCCTATGACTTTGATGCTCTTCTCGCACCGCAGACTGGGCTTTCTTAGCTATGTATCATGGGAGTGTGTGTTGAAGGCCCCTTGCCGATGTCTGGGGTCAACTTTCTTCTCTACTGTGAGCAGTCCTGTACTTCAGAAAGATCAGTACATGACATCATGCGCAGTAGTTACAGTAAGTCGGACCTCGCTTTTTTGGCGCTGTGTGTGAAAGGGTGCTGTGTTGTCCCGCGTGGAGTCTTTAATCAGGGGTCGGGAATGGGTCACCTCTGTAGGGGACTGGTCACTCTGTTGACAAAATGGACAGCAAATGAAGCAAGACAGCTAGCCGGGTTGAAAACATGCACAAAAGAAGCAACGCAAGAAATAATTTTTATCTGACAATACAGCCACATAGAACAAACAAAGGCCACACGTACACCTGGTTGGTTTTTCTTCAAATAATTTCCATTCACAGTTACTGTGTAAAAAAGCTGGTCACTAAAAGTTCTCCGGCAAGAAAAAAAATCTTATATTTAAGATTTCCTTTCTGGATCCACTGGAATGGGAACGGTGCGTTTGAGACACCATTTGATTGCACTGGAAAGTGACCCAAATATTCTGACCAGTGAAATCATGGATTACACTAAAAAGACTATTTCAGCCAAAATAACTTGCAGCCAATGGAATATGCCCCATGCACTGGAAGAGCCCCCATCAGATACAGAAGTAATGTCGCTCAGCAACATGTACTCTATGTAGGTCACATTATCTGCAAGCTAATGTTATTTCAGGTCTTCCTTGTCATCAGTTCTATTCTCTGTGTCCTATGTGATTCTCCTTATGTTACTATTGAATCATTATATTTAAAATTTATACTCTAAAACTACTGAAAGCTGAATGACAGGAATTGTACAAGGGAAGTGCATTAGGATTACACAAAAACGAACACGCAACACCACTTTGAAAACACTAAAACTAGCGTTTGTCATACAGTATGCTGTCTTAATGATCTTCCTTTTCTCCACTCAGCTTTCAGTGGCACTGTTTTAAATGGAATAGCTTGTTAGCAGCTAACAATTCTATTGTTGGTCTTGCAACAATAACTTCATTTCTGAGTACTAATAAAAAATAGAATCACATCACACAGGAATAGAAAGTAAGAAACTTAATAGAAAATGTCAGATCATAATTAGTATCCTCATATATAAATACATTCTGTTATACATTTCTCTAATACACCCATTGAGTCTCTTTGTGACCGTTTCAATATTTAAAATTACACATTCTGGCTCTTGAGAGTCCGCATTGGGAAGATATCAATTGGAATATTACAGCAATTGAGCACTTCATACCAGCAATTGGCAGGCTATTCAGTGCTTGAGGAAAAGATATGCAGCTTGATAGAGATTACTTATTAATCGCACAGTACAGAAGAAACCGGGGTACTGTCTTTGAAGAAATGGAAATTTAGACAGGATAAATAAATGTTTTACCAAACGTGGTGGGCAACAAACCTTTAATTTTACTATTCTTACAAACCCCTTGTCATCCTACCAGGACAAGCGTCTGTTTTTGAAAGATGCTACCTGTGTCAAACTGAAATATCTCCAAACAAATAACTGGTAACACCATTTGCTTCAGAATATCACATCAAACCCAGGTTCTGGATCACAACACTAGATTGCACCGTTTATAACAGTAGAACAGGAAAGTATGTTTACGTGTACATATCTTGCGTAAATTATTGATTACTTTCGTTAATCTGAATACCCTGGAAATGCCCCTTAATGAAAACAGCAGTGCCGGGCATCGCTAGAGCTCTCCTAGGCAATAGGAGACTTTGCTACAGACCGTCCATTATGCTTATATGCACAGTGGCTACAACACAGATGGTAAGTGGCTCATTCTCATGGCTTGTCTGTGGTGGTTTGCTAAGCTCCGCAAAGCAAGCGAGGGGCGGCTGGTCCGGGGGCTGCCGACACTGACCCTGTTTATGTCGTCGGTGCAGTCCTCCCGCGAGGAGCCCACTGAGTGCCTAGTGAGTGTCCGGTGCTGCAGCTGTGGGGAGAGGAGCTGAAGGCTGCTGGCGCGGGATGGCATGCCCTGGCCCACGCTGAGCCCCGTGTCAGGCCCATGAGCGCGCGGCCGCTCTCGGCGCACGTACATGGAGTGGCGGTGGGGCCGCTGCTGGGAAGAGAAGGGGCTGGTGTAGCCCAGGCCGTAGGGGAAAGACTCATGGGGTGCAGACAGGGAGTGGGAATGCCCCCCCCCGCCCCCACTGTCCAGCAGGTCAGGGGACTTGTTTTCTTCCAGCGTCTTGGAGTGGCGGGAAGAGGATCGGCGGGAGTCCAAGGTGCCGCTCTCCATGCGGGGATTGCTGCGGCCAGAGGGGCTAACAGCAGGGCGGCCATCACTGTGCCGCCCCGAGGGGCTCCCAGGGGCATTGAGGTCCATGCAGCTAGAGGGGAAATACCGAGAGCTGGGGTCCTCCAGGTGTATGCGGGCCTCACTGAGGTTGCCCACAGATTTGGAGTCATTGAGAGCCCCATGACTCTTGGAGAGGTTTAGGTAGGAAGCCACGTTCTTTGAGGGTGCAGGCATAGAGCCATGAGAAGTTTCCATGTAACTGTGGCGGTTGTGCTTCTCTCCCGACTGCAGTGTGCCAGTCTTGCCTTCAATGAAGGAGTGGCGGTTCTGCTGGGAACGGGAGTTAGACTTCAGATACTTGGCCCCTGGCCCATCAGCGGCCTTGGGCCCTACGTTGAAGTCAAACTCTGTCTTGGATTTTGCCTCCTTGGGGCTGAGCAGGTGGGGCAAGTTGTTGTTGGCTAAGTCTTTGCTGCTGGAGGCTGAACGGTTGAGTGTCTGTTGTTGGTAGTTCTTGGGGTGCATAGTGGGGCTGAGGGCAGGTGGGGGGGGTAGGTTCCCATTGAGAAAGCTGTCGGTGTTAGCGTGGACATCCTCCACACGTGGCAGGCTGGAGCCCATGCTCTGGGCATCCTTGCTGTTAGACCTGTGGTGGGACTGCAGGCCTGAGCTCTTACTCCCATGGTTCCTGTTCAGAAGACACAGAAAGCGACATCACATTGGCTTAGGAATGAGGATTGTCTGACAACGAAAACAAAACCATTAAAGACTGTAACAGTTTTGATTCTTTAGCTGAGACAAAAGATTCACATGAATACATCAGTTCTCCTCGCTCTTGTCTAAAATGATAAACAGAAATGTAAGAGTACATAAAAGTGTGAAAGAAATATTTAGGTCTCCATGCACGTTGTGACGGTGCCATAAATGGCTTTAAGAAGAAACTGACATTTCCCAAAAGCTAAGGGTCAATTTGAAGGTGAATGGAGTAGAAAAGCTCTTAACGTGAGTCATCGAGCAGAGCTGTGATGTGGCTTCTCACCTGCTGGAGGAGGAGTTGCTCTCCCCGTGGTAAGACTTCCTCTTGGAGGAGCGAGGAGGCGAGGCCCCGCCAGGCCGGTCCAGCAGGCGCTGGGTCTGGAAAGCGTGGTGGTTCAGGCTCTGCTCCGTCAGGTAACGCTCTGAGGGACTGAGCTTCAGGAGGTTCTGGGGGAAGGAATAACACACTGCGAAGAGCTCCTCACTGGCCACAGCGGCTCTGGCCCCCAGGAATGACCACAATTAGCCCCCTCCGCATTAGTTTGGAGATCAAACAATATACAACAGTCGAACAAGAGACTAAAACAGATTTCAAGAAAAAAAAAAGAATAGCAAAACAATTTATCCATTACATCAAGCAGGACATCACAATTAGTAATTTTGTAACAAATATTTACTCATACAGCACATACTAACTGATTTTTGGGTCTTAAATAAGAACACTAGAGGGCTTCATATTTATACAGTATGTAGAGTATATACTGTAGTAGCCTGCAGAATAGCGGTCAAATTAAAAATGTAAATTAATCTAACACTACAGATCTTATAGGAACTGGTAACATGTCAAAAAGCTTGGGGCTTGAAATTCTGAAGAATATGCCTGTTAGTCTAAAGTCATATTTGACCACTGCTTTGTTACTGATTATACACTGTTAGATGAAAGTAAACTTGAATCACATGTAAAGGAAACAAAAACTGCAGTTAGAACTGCCCCACTGCTGGAAAAAACTGCATCAATTAAACCTTTCAAGCCAATGAACCTTTTATCTGAAACTGGCTCAATGCTATTTTTCCAACTTTGGATACACTTTGTGCATCCCGCCGATGTTAATGATATACAGCTTGTTGCCTCACGTGAATAATATGAGAAAGTCGTGACAGGGGACTAATGCACCTGATCATCCCCAAGCTGTTTGGATCACTCCATGGACTGCAGAACACACAGCACGACTGACAAGGCTTTGAACTGCAGTGATCAGTTTTTCAGCCCACAGACATCATATTTAAGATGTCTCTCCATAAGTGAATGTTTTGTGAAAATTGCTGTCCTCTGCACAGATCATTTCTGCATTGTTTTACTTTGCAGTTTAAAGAAGATGAAATAACAAAATGAATCAAGGAAGTAAGAGCCTGTTTTGCCAGCCTCTTACACGAAAAAGCCTCTAAACTGCCTGCTTATTGCAAAAGGTGAAGGGCAGAGACCATTAAGCATGTTCTAAGCACTTTTATGTACAAAAAACACTCTCAAATATGTGTTTTTAATCCCATTCTTTAAGAATAAATTTTTATCTGCTTGGCTCCTTCATGCTTACACATATAGCAAAAAACACATTCATCCAATCTGAAGAAATTCTGCAAAATGGGCTCTGTCAGACCTCCCACAGTGCCACTGGCAAAGCTAAAGAACGGCAAGACAGATGCTGCTCTGATAACACTACAGCTCATAGGCTTCTGGCAAGCCACAGGGGATGCTGGGTGCTCCCTGCCCAACTACAAACCCAGCCAGCCTTGGCAACACTTGACTAATTGTGCCTTTGGTGTGCTTAGCAATTCCAGATCAAAAACTGCTTACGCCAAAGCCGTGTTTTCAGACAGCAATATCTTAAACATAAGTTATAAGTAATCTGCATTCCCTCTAAATTAGACAATGCTTGTTTTACAATAAGAATTCTTTTTTTGCACAGTTGTATTTCTGATTCTCCTTCTCCGTTGCTTAGGATTCCACTATGCAAAACCTCCCATATTACAACGATACTGTTTTTAACACTGGATGAATCATTTTTGCTATACACCACAAACGCTGCCCACAGAACTGACACCAACCACAGTCTCCTGTTACACAACGGCCTAACTGGGGAAGGATGGTGGTGTAAGGCTGCCAAGTCTTATCTCTGACAATAAAGAGGAGTCTGAACTGGGACTCTTTTCTACATGCCAGCACAGAACAAGATGTTCATTCACTTTAAATGGCAGTGACAGCCAATCCATTCCTCCTCCTGTGGCTCTTCTTTTGCATTTGCTCCCATCTCCCATAATCATGAAAGATCAGCAAATTCCCTTTGAAGCACAGGGGTCTGTTCACATGAGAATGCAGTAGCTCGAGCTGTCACTTCTACATGCTTTCAGAACCTGCGAGGTCTAACTACAGCTAACTGCAGACATGAGGAAGACTTCATTTGACTGAGTAACTTACAATATTTGTTTCAATGCCTGTGCTATACAATAAAATATCATTCACATCCATGATCTACTGGTGAAATACATTAAAAGAGGAAAAAAATAAATTTTCTCGTTAAGAACTGGTAACCATCACAGTCTATCAGCATATGGTGATATTGCTGTCATGTTTTGGAGCTAGTGGAGAATTCTGAATTTAATCATTTTCAGTAGGAAACACCTGTGCAATTTGATTAACTTTAATTTGCACACTTATGTGGCTGTCTGAAAGTAATGCATCTTTGGTGAGAAAATGAGAACATCACTGATTCAATCTTTATTTTTCTCCTTTCAACCAATATGTGTAAGTATACAGAGTACAGTACATAGCTATACCCACATATGCCAGTACAGCAATGGTAACTTGGTAAATAAAATAACAGTTTTTGAGTAATGTGTAATTATATAAGGGATTTAAACAAAATTTACCTTGTTTTTCTGTCTCAGATGGTGCCTTTTTTTATAGTATAATGTCCCCATCACTATTTCGGGGCAGTAAGACCCACACAGACAGCAGGATGTGTGTTCCCTACTGGTGAAACTAACATCTTTTCCAGCAGTAATTTTAGCTTTCTCGGGAAGTCTCTCTTTCAGGTACTGGCCAGGCTCACATCTGCTTAGCTTCAATAGTTTGGTATAGCTGCTGGACTGAAATGCTTTTGTTCTATATCTCAACTGTTTACCAACACTGATTTTGCCAACTATTTTAATCAATTCTTGACCTGCGTTTACTCAGCACTTCAGTAAGCTGAAGGCCACAACTTTTTTTTAGCTAAAGGTATATCAAAGGTTAAACTAATCATATATAGGAGCTACAGGATCCCTTTCTGGCCCAGATATAAGAAAGCCCGGAGACTAGTATAATGAACCTCTGGAAGTAGCAAGACCAGCTTGGACAGGACCTGACAAGTGTCTGAAATGTTTGGAGACATGGACGGAGATTGTTCTGGGAAGGTGCAGTAATTCTCTCCTGCCCCTCAAGACCACCATACACTGTGATTGAGAGAGTCTGTTTACCTGACTGAAGGTTTCAAATATTTTGGCTGGAGGGAATATCTCCAAGGGATTAAGGTCATGGGAAGCAATAAAAAAAAGTAAGGGTCACAACCAAATTGATTTGATCTGTGGTCCTACCTTCATTAGGTCTAACAAGACACCACTAATAATTCCCAGGTATCGTCTCTCCAAGGTCTGAGGGTGGTTGACTGCAGGGAACTGAAAAACGAAGAACAAGGAGTTGGAACAAATTTGGCAGATACCAAACAACAGGGTCACCAAGCTTATCAGATACTCTATCATGTCAAATTCGGCGCATTGTTTTTCAAAAGACGAAGCACACAACGAATTAAATGGTACAAATTCCTCGTATCTGTACCTTAATATGTATATGGAGATTTATGCAGAAATGTAGAAGATTTAAATTTGTGTATTATAAAGCCTGAACAAAAACAAGAACGAGTCCCAGTAACAGCAAAGGTAAAAACAGACGACTGGATAAAAGCAGCACCTTCAGCATAAATAACATCTGTCAAGGTTCCATCATTAAATAAAAACAGATGTTACAGGAGGCAGGGGGTCCTGTTAGGTACATGACTTTATGATATTAAACAGGCAACACCGATTTCTGTGTACTGTTGTTTCTGTGGATTTACTACCATCAGTGCTGTCTTGTTACCAGCTGTTGAGCATCCTGCTGAGGAACTGGCCACACAACAGGACTATTAATTCCAACCACCTCCCAAGACGAGCTCAGGCGACTGATAACAGACCCAGGATTAGCAGGATCCCAACCCGTAGCTTTGCAGATAGTTCAGGATCTATTATAATAAATGTAACACTAGCTTACTGCCTGGAAGAGGGGACAACGATCAGGCCTAGGAACTTCAGAGGTTCATTTTTTTCCCACTAGGGGTTTGTTTTCCCCTCCTCTGTACCCACATGATTATCTGTTGCTGTTCGATATTGTTAAGGGTTAGATAATCCTGTAAAGAGCTCTGTGGCAAATTGTTGCAAAGGGTGCTGTAGCAAATACAAGATTGATTGAAATGCCAGAAATATTTAATGCACTGGAGCCTGAAAAACTGCTCGCTCAAAAGGAAGAATTCATGACACAGCTTATAATTAAGCGGAGGTTTTCTAAATAGGACTTGTGATAAATTAGTAGATATTCTGTATTGATATTACAATTTTAAATATTCTCACATTTATAATAAGCATGTACTGCACCCTCTCACAGTTTGGCTTTTAAATGTAAAGAGTAAAATATAATCCAATCAAATGGTAATTCAATGTTGTAACATAGCTGGTGAAGAAAATGATCACTTAGAAAATATGGAAATCTACCAATACCAAGAGCTTTTCTAAAGAGATATGACACACAGCAACACCCATCATGTGAAATGCATTTGCCAGTTACTTCAGTGTGTTTCAAATAGCCTATGCCCTATGTGTGATCTCTGTCCAACTCCAGGCAGAAACTAATCTCAGACTGGGTTGTAACTAGCTTAACCTCAACATGAAGGTTAGCTAATACTATTTGTGACCTCAAATCAGAAAGATCTTTCAGCTAAAACAGAATAATCCTGAGGTGGAGGTACAGTGTGAGAGGGCTGCTTTGTATTCAGAGCTGCTCTTCCCCACTCTGAACAATTGCTAGACTGTTAGTCCCACCTTCACCTCCATCCTCATAATAGAACTGGGGATTAAGGGAAGTTGCAACTGCAACACGACACATTTCAAATTTCTACTATACTGTGAAAAAACATGTTTACCAAAACATTGTATTAACGTAAATCTGTATTTTTACCTCTTAAACACAAAATATTTGCTTCCTCTTTAACTCCCTAGTTGGACATTCTGCCTACTAAATTGAATTTAAGTGAGGAAACCTTACAATTAGGAAGACTGGAGCCCGAAGAATTGTCTCCTGAACTTGTTAAATTATGCAACATAAAGGACTACTTTATTTCTGCCCAATACAATGCAGTGCTTAATTTACTGTTTGTTGAGAGTGCGTACACAAGTCTCGTGGTCTTCTGAAAGTAGCCCAACATGTCCTTATACTGATGTCAAAGAGTGGTAATGAGCTGAAAATAAACGTTAAAAAATGGAAACTGCACACATTGCACCCTCTTCTTCTCTCTGTCCTACTTTCAGCTTTCTGGCCTCAATACTGTTCTCTCCCCCACAGGGGAAAAACTGCTCTCATTCCGGCTTGGAAGTAAATGTTATCTGTTGAAAACTACAATTCACTAACCGATGGTAAAGTCTGAAGCAGAGGGAGCTCACGCATGAAAACTGTGCTTTGCCCCTGTGATTTCTCTTTTTTTTATATTCCTTCATGGTGTTCAGAATCATTTCCCATGGCCTGCTGGACATGAGAATCTGTTTTGACACTCACACATCCATTTTATGACCACTTTTATCTAGTATAGGGTTGCAGGATAAGCCAGACCATAACCCAGAAAACGATAGGTGCAAGGCAGGATACATCCTGGACAGAACACAAGTCCATTGCAGGGCACACAGATACACATACACACCAGGGCCAATTCTCCCAGAAGCCAACTGACCTACAAGAACGTCTTTGGACTGTGAGAGGAAACCCAAGCAAACACTGGGAGAACATACAACCTTCTTGCATTTCATACCCCAGGTCTGGAATTGTACCCAGGGCCCCAGCCCTGAAAGCACGCAAAGCTAACCAGAGTGCCACCCTGTTTGTACACTCATGTAAAGTAAATAATATCGTGTCAGAGCCCAAAGCTAAGCTTAATGATTTTATGTTTTTTTTTAACTTTATGATTTGAAGAGAAATGTAACTAGCTTGCAAAGCATTGAAGAAAAGAAAATATCTATCACACAACAAAAACACCTCAACTTTCCCTATGGAATCACAAATTTCTAAGTGTGAAAGTCAAGATTTTAGATGAGTATGGAGTTTTAATTTGCTATTATTTATCTTTTATTTGTTATAGCTCCCAAAGAACTGGGGGCATAGTGATCCAAAATAATCACCTCTGTTATGGAAACATTTATATTTAGATTTAGAAATTTAGAAATTAAAATAACAACTTTTGACAAGGATTTAAAGTATGGATTTAAGTATGTTTTTAACTGGGGTTTCATGTTCACCTGTATTTTTTTACACCATGCATTTACAGTGCTGTGAAAACTATTTGTCCACTGTCCACTTTTCTGCAATTTAACAATGAATGTTATCAGATCTTCAACCAAATCCTATTATTAGATTAAAGAGACCCTGAGTGAACACATGAACAGACTTTTGACGCATAAGTTTCTTTAATAAATAAAATAAGCAACACCCAAAGCCCCATTTGAGTTATTGAGTCCCCTTGTACTCAATAACTGCCACCAGCCATTTCCTGTAGTTATTAATCAGCAGCTCACAGCACTGTGGAGGAATTTTGTCTCCTGCCACAACATCTCAATGGGGTTTAGGTCTGGACTTTGACTAGGCCATTCCAAATTTCTGTTCTGCAGCCATTCTGATCATTTTCTTGCTAAACGAACCAGCTGCCCTTCAGCTTTAGCTCACAGACAGATGGCCTGACATTCATGATTGCGTCAAAGTCATCCAGGTCCTGATACAGCAAAGAATCCAAAACCCGATGACACTACCACCACCACCATGTTTGACCTTTTGTATGAGGTTCTTACAGTAGACTGCACCGTTTGGTTTTCAACAGACATAACTGGGCCCATGTCAGCCCAAAAATTCCACTTTTGACGAATCCGTCTATAGAACATTGTTCCACGACTCTGGAGGGTAATCCAGGTGTATTTTAGCAAATGTGAGGTGAGCACTCATGTTCTTCGTGGTGAGCAGTGATTTCTGCCTTGCTACTCTGCCATTGGTCCCATTTTAGACCAGGGTCTTTCTGATGGTGGAGTCGTGACCTTAGCTTAGAGAGGCCTGCAGATCCCTTGATGCTGTTCTGGGGTTCTTTGTGACTTCCTGGAAAAATTTACCTCCTTCTCTTGGATATAATTTAGAAGACTAACCACTCCTGGGAGGATTCACTACTGTTGCACATTTTCTCCTTTTGGACAATGGGGCTCTGACTGTGGTTTGATGGAGCTCCAGAGCCTTAAAAATGGCTTTGTAACCCTTTCCAGACTGACAATCTGGAGTCCAGAAGAATTTTTCAGAAATTTGATCATGCCTCTACAACCTGTGTGCTGAGAGCTTCACTCTGATGGTAAGGGCTAAAACTAGTCAGATATTATATTGGGCAGTGCTGGCCTATATCAGGCCTGATTGTTAACCAAAGTATTCAAACAGCTGACCCTAATAACCCCTTTAATTCAGGCTCTCCTCTACATACTACTACAACTCACGAAAAGATCTGATCAAATTCACTGTGAAAAATGTCCAAACATGCCGAAAACTTTTTTCACAGCCCCGGATGTCACAAACATACACTGCAGATAGTGAAAACATTGAACCATTTTTTCTGATTCTTCTGAACGCTGTTCTACTAATCTTGTAAATACAACAAAAAAATGCCATTGCGTGTCAGACGACTCCCAGAGAAACATGCAGATGATGAGTCAGTTTTGCCCAGAGAGTGTGAGAACAACAACAGGGAGATGCCTACCCTCAGTCCGTGGAAGCGAGGGTTGCTGTAGAAAAGCTTCATCTGCTCGGGTGGAAGCGGCCCCAGAACTTTCTGGATGGTGTACAGCTGGTCGATCTCGCTCTCACCTGGAAACAGGGGCTGCCCGTCGCTCAGCTCCCCCAGGATACAGCCCACGGACCACATGTCAACCGCCTTCCCATAGGGAGCCCTGACACCCCGCCAGGGGGAGAGAGAGAGAGAGTGAGACAGCGGAGGGGGGTGGAAGATGCGCGTCTGAACCGAAACGCTCTGCGTGAGGGAGTGAAAATAATGGTGGGGGAGGAATACATATCTGGAGAACTAAAAAAAAAAGGTTTCTTATTTTCTGCTGTCAAATCGACTGCTGTCGTGTCTAACATAAAAAAATAATAATTTAAGACATTCTCATCTGAACTATCCTTTGCGTAAGTACTAAAGCATGCTGCAGCTTGGCATCAGAACATAAGCAGATCGAAAGCAAATTAGATCAACTGGACAGACAGCTTTGGACTTTGGTTTTGGAACTCACAGAGGCTTTTAATAACTGCCAAATAAATGAGACCAGGCAAAACAGAAATCACTTTTATCTTGTAAAAATAAATTAAAGACTAGAGGTTTCTGAAGTGGCTCAACCAATGCCAATGCTTATTGCAAATGGTGTTCGAGACCTATAGCCCAGACCTGAGTGAGTGATGCTTGAGTCATGTCAGCAGCTACTATGGACTGGATTTCCCAAGTGGAATTGACCAAATGGCCATACATCAATGGGACAGGGTGGGCTTGAGGTTGCCTGAGTCTAATTAAGAAATACAAAAACCTGGGACAGTAATTTAGAGAGAGGAGCACAGCTGTGTGATCATTCAAAAACCCTGGGAATAAACCTCATTAAGAACTATATACGGTACAGTAAAAGCCTGCAGTAAATCAGTCATGTGTTTGGGCTTGTCAGTGTACAAATCATCCTGTGAAAGCTAAGAGTACTTTCTCACTACATTGCTTTGTTCCCATATCCCAGGCGTGACTAGACTTATCACAGACTGATTCAGTCATGGTAGTCTCCTCACTGTCAGACATTGGGATTTTTGTGCTCGCAGACTACCCTTCCGCAGACATGAGGTCTATGGGGTCTCCGGAAGATTATCACTCACCCCAAGAGCAGCTCAGGCGAGCGATACCACCTGGTGGCTACATATTCTGTGTAGTTGGCATTGCTTCCTTCTGATAGATTCCGGGCAAAACCTAAAGAAGGAAGCCAGCAATTGTCATACCTCAGTGCAGCAGTAACATGTAACCTATATATTGACCTCCTCACTTGAAACACATAGACTTCTAGTGTAAAGACTTGGAGTTTTTATTACTGTTAAGAATGCACAAAAATACTGTAGATAAGACCATGCATTTACAATATTAGGTGATCTTTTTCATAATTACTAACATTTACATGGTAGAAATATTTTGTCTCCTAACCATGGTCGTGGGGAGCACCAAATCTGTGAAGTCACCCTAAAATAACCAATTATTTAATAATTAGGAATAATTATTTAAGTAACTGGTCAATTAAGCAAGTAAATTGCTCAGTGATGGAACTCTGAGAGCTGAAGGGTTTCTAATTGTTGTTCGAAATGATATCTAAATGAATTGAAATGAAGAACACGAAAAATGTGTACATTTGTCATTCAACAAAATAGAACATCATTGGCAGAGGGTGAATAATTTTGAAAGGCACCGTATCTGTCTGAACAGATGATAAGGTTTCTGTTTTTGAATATATGAACTAAATAAACAGTATTTCTAAACTAACAAATCCGGACAAGTACGGTCAGGTAAACATCCTAGGAAATGTTTGCTCCTTTTAGTAACATGATGTTGTATCAGTGCAATGAGTTCCCACTGCTACTTTTACATTCTTCCTAAAAAATTATCAAACGAATGTTACAAAATGGTAAAACCTGTGAACTAGCCATAATGACAGAATACTGGGGTGCAAGAAATTCTGACTTCAAAACCAGTCTTCAGAAAAAATATGATAACTGAATTTTATAGCATCTTTAATATGTGCTCAGTGAGAAGGGTTAAAGGGCAGAACTAAATCAGAACATAATTCAAGACCTAGCCTGTATACAGCAGCTATAACCTGATGATGACTCTGCATCACACTACCCCTTCAGCTGTTTACAGTTGTAATAAGTGCGTAAGGTTAAGGGCCTTGCTCAGGGGCCCAACGGAGTAGGATTCCTCTGCCATCCGCGGGATACGAACCAGCAACCTTCCAGCTACAGGTGCAGATCCTTAGCCATTACGTTGAGATTATCTGTCATCTCATAAATATATAATGTACCACTGTGTATATTTAGCTGAAAACATAAATCTGATTAAGATGCCAGACATTGCTGCTTAGGAATCTGTCCAGAGGAGAGTACCTGGGTACCTTTCAAAGAACTAAGGGACATTCTGCACCGA